AATTTTATTTATTTAATTTGAAGCGCTTGAGCCTCAGGGGACCCCCCGTATCACTGAAAGCTTTCCTGGGGGCCCTTTAGGGTCTTAAGGGGCCCCCTGGGGGCCCCAGGGGCCCCTTTGGGGCATCAAGGGGCCCCCTGGGACCCCTTGATACGCCCCCAAGGGGGGCCCCTTGGGGGCCCCTTGGGGCCTCCGGGGGCCCTTTTGGGGTCTCAGGGGCCCTAGGGGCCCCCTTGGGCCTTTTGGGGGAACGTGGGGGCCCTCAGAGTCTTAAAAGTATAAGAATTCTTTTTCTGGAAAAGGAAATACTTTTCTAGCTTTCAAAAAGACTTAGGGGGCCCCTGGGTAGGGTCTGTGGAGTCTCAGGGGGGCCCCCAAGTGGGCCCAAAAAGAGGTCCTCAAAGCCCATTGGGGCCCCAGGAGACCCCCATGGGGGCCCCCAGGGGGGCCCCCAAGGCAATTCATTGGGGGCCCCCAAAGGGCTCCCAGGAGGACCTTAAAGGAAGTCCATCAAGGGCCTCAGAGGGCCCCCAATAGGGGCCCTCTGAGGCCCCTTTGGGGCCCCTATTGGGGGCCCCAAAGGGGTTCAATTAAGGGCGTCAGGGGACCCCCAAGTGGGTCCCCAAGGGCCCCCCTTGGGGGCCCCCTTGGGGGCCCCCAAAGGGGGCCCCCAAAGAGGGTTTTAGTATAGCTGCAGGAGGGCCTGGCTTGTGTGGGGGCCCCTGTGAAGCTGTGGGGCGGAGGAGCTGTGCATTTTAATTTAATTGAATTTATTAATTTTATTTAGTTCTACAGCTTCATATAAATATATATTTTACATACTTAATGTAAATATATATATCAACATATGTATATATATATAGATATAGATATAGTATTTATATATTATAAATATGTAAATGTATATATAATTCATATATCCAAGACTAGTTTATTAAGTATAGACACGTACGTAAAATGCGTATAGTTAAGGGAAGCTGTAGGATCAATATATAATAATATATAACATGTATACATATATAGTATTTATATATTATAAATATAAAAATATAAATATGAATATATATGTATGTGGGAATAAATATATATATAATATACCTATATATGTTTATATGTAAATATTGATAATAATTATATATACAAATATACATATATAGATACGGCAATATATATTATATACATTATAGTATATATATGTCTTTATATAAACATAGATATAAGTATATATAAAAATATACATTTACAGAATGATACATATATAGAATATATATTATATACATATATTTATAATAAGCTGCAGAACTAATATATAATAAATATATTTTATAAAAATCTATTTATTTGTTGAGGGCTGGAGGACAAATATATAAAATAAAAGAAAATCAACAACAAGGGGCTTTAATCAGAGGCCTCTGGCAAAATGGGAAAATAAAAAAGAAACAAAATAAAAAAGAGAAACAAAAGAAAAGAGATAAAAGAGAAAGAAATAAAAGAAAAAGGATTTAAAAAGAAATAAAAGAAAAAGAAATAAATAAAAGAAATAAAAGAAATGAAGAAGAAGCAAATTCAAAGTAGCTAACAGAGAGAAGCAAAAGCAAAGGGGGATTTTGAAAAGAAATAAAACAGAATTAAAAAAAAGAATAAAAAAAATAAATAAACAAAATAAATACAATAAAAGAAGAATAAAAGTTAAAGCAACTATAATATTGTTCCATTTTTCATTTTTTTTATTTGAAAGACAAAGAGATACAAAGAGTCTACAAAGAGTCTACAGCTATTCAGTTCAGTGTCTCATTGCCTCATACACTCGCAACCCGAGATCTAGACCCTAAACCCTAAACCCTAAACCCTAAACCCTAAACCCTAAAGCCTAAACCCTAGGGGGCCTCGTGCGGCTGCGTTGTGAAGTTCCTGGCTGTGCAAAATGGATTTCTGGAGGACAAAAAGGATTAAAAGCGGAAAAACAAGAAACTAAAAGTAAAAAATGGATTTAGTTATATTTTAATATGCAAAATAAAAAAGAAAATGAAAAATAAAAAGAAATTTAATTTATGTTAATTTGCAGCGGCTTGGCTGGGGGGTGGGGCTGCTGGGCTTGCCGGCGCTGCAGGGGCTGCGCGTGTGCATGCAGAGGGTTTAAACCACCGAAATTGCGGGTTTCCCCCCTTTTTTTCAATATTATTAAATGAATAATAATATTTAAAGCATTTTTGACTCCAAAAATTCAAATTAGAGTCTCCAAGTCCCCACACACTGACGCCGCTCGCCCGCGCTCTCGACGGACCGCCGCCGACCCGCCGGACCACCGGAAACCCAGCCAACCAGCCGCGGAATTTCCTTCTTTTTGAATTTAATTTAATTAATTTGCAAATTTTATTATTTTCCGAGTTTAATTACACCATTTGAGCTCGACGCGACTGCAAAAAGCTCCCCAGCAAGCCATATTGAGGCCCCTTCTTCCCGCCCCCTCTTCTCCATTTTCTGCCAAAGTTCTCTCATTTCTTTTCCTACAAACTGCTTCGGGGGCCCCCAGGGCTTTAGCGAGAAGGGCCCCAGCAGTTGGGGGACAGGGGGGCCCCTCATCTGGCTTTTTGGGTACCTGAGCCTTCCGGGGGCCCCAGGGGCCCCTGGGGGCCCCTGCTGCAGCCAATGGAGTACCCTGGGGGCCCCTGCGGGCGGCTCTCCTCCGCCTATGCGCGCCGGCGGCTCTACAACAGGCTGGCCCTCGAGGGGCCCCTCGAGGGGCCCCTCGGGGGGCCCCCCAGGGGCCCCCTTCTGCAGCAAGACCGCAGCAGCAGCTTGTTAGGAAGAACTATTTCTCCCACTTTAAGGGCCCAAGAAGCAGCAATTCGCAGCCAAATGCGCAGAGCCAACTCGGGGGCCCCCAGCAGTCCGGGGCCCCCCCCCCTGGGCCGCCACAGCGCGGCCCGCGCCGCTTCGCGGAGGGGCCCCCGGGGGCCCCCCGGGGGGTCTCCCGGGGGGGCCCCCCGGGGTCCCCTGCAGGGGCCCCCGGGGGCCCCCGGGGGTCCCTTTGGGGGCCCCCAGGACCCCCAGGAACGAGATAAAAGCCCCACTTTCAGGGCCCCCTTTTTCTGTCCCGGAGAGGAAAACCAGGGGGCCCCTTGTTGGCTGCTGCTGCACGAAGAAGACGTGCAGCAGCAGGTGCCAGGGGGGACGAAGCTGAGGCCCAAGGGGGGCCCCTCTCGCAGCAGCAGCAGCAGCGCAGCAGCGCAGCAGACCAGAGCGCCCCGCAGCAGCAGCAGCAGCAGCAACCGCGCAGGCCTCGAGACCCCCAGGTGGGGGGCCCCACACCTGAGTGGAGACATTGCAGACTTTGAAGATAATCTGCAAACAGAGGTTTGTCTTGCTCCTGCTGCAATTGCTGCTGCTGCTGCTGCACTTGCTGCTGCTGCTGCTACAGCAGCAGCAGAGGCTCTGCCTACGGCTAGCTGCATCCCTCCTAGTTAGCTGTGGCCATCTTGGCCTCATGCAGCTAGCTGAGGTTAGCAGCAGCAGCCCGCAGCAAGCTGCAGCAGCAAGCTGCAGCAGCAAGCTGCAGCAGCAAGCTGCAGCAGCAAGCTGCAGCAGCAAGCTGCAGCAGCAAGCTGCAGCAGCAAGATGCAGCAGCAAGCTGCAGCAGCAAGCTGCAGCAGCAGCAGCAAGCTGCCCGCATTGAGTTGCTGCGGGCTGTGTCTCTCTGTAAACATTCAAAAACATAAATAATATGCCGATATAAATATTTTAACAAAAATAAATAAGTAAAAAGATTTATAAATGCGAAGTGGCTTTTTAATTTCCCGCTTGTGCTGTCTAGACACCCCAAAAAGAGCCCCACCAAAGAGGCCGATCTCCCCGAAGGCGATTCAGCTGTACGTACACCTGAAGGCCCCACAACAAATCCCTAATAAAATGAAATTAAAAATAAAAATTCAAATAAGTAAACTTTAAAATTAATTGACTCAAATAAGATAAAGTTTCAAATAAAATGATTCAAATATAATAAAATTGAAAACAAAGTGACTTGAATAAGATAAAATATAAGATTAAGATAAAATATAAGATAACATGATTTAAATAGAATCAAATTTAAAATTAAATGATTTAAATAAAATAATATTCAAAATAAAATAATTCAAATACGTTGAGACTTAAGATTAAAGTCCTAGTGGGCCATCAAGGGCCTCTTGGGCCCCCCAGGGGGGGCCCTCAAGGGGCCCCCGTGGGCCCGCAAATGGGGGCCCCTGGGGGCCCCTAGGGGGCCCCAAATTGGGGCCCCTGGGGGGCCCCAATCAAGGGCCCCTGGGGGCCCCAAATGGGGGCCCCTGGGAATAACTAGAAAGGCATTGTAGATGTCTTTTGCTGCTTATTTTCTTTTTTGGATTTAAAAGAACTGAAAAGTCTTTTTTTAATTCTTTTCTTTTTTGCTGTTTGTCTGCAGCACAAGGAGGCCGCGAAGCTGTGGGCGCGGGCTACCAGCAGCAGCAGCAGCAGCAGCAACAGCAGCAGCAGCAGCAGCAGCAAGATGCGGACACGAGGCCTCCGTTGTACCCTTCAGAAATCAGCGAGGGGCCCCCCACGGATTTTCCCAAAAGTACCCTAAAGGGGGCCCCCAAGGACTTTGGAGATTCCCCTTTTTTGTTTTCGGGGGGCCCCCGCTCCTTTGGGGACCCCAATGGCGACAGCGGTGGGGCCCCACACTTTGCTGCAGCGCATGCATTTCTATTTGCTGCTTTGGGGGCCCCAATTGCTGCCTGGGGGGCCCCCGGGGGCCTCCCAGGGCCCCCGAGGTCCCTTGGGGGCCCCCGGGGGCCCCCGCCCCTTAAGTAAAGATGCATGCGTTTCTGCGCAGCGTGGAGTGTATGTACACCTCAACCTGTGCCTTTTGCTGCAGACGTGGAGATACAAAAAGGTACTGACGATCAATGGGGGCCCCCAGACAACAGGGGCCCCCAGGGCCCCCAAGGGGGCCCTGGGGGCCTCTATGGGGGCCCCCAGGAGTACGGGGGCCCCCAGGAATACGGGGGCCCCCAAGAGTTCCGGGGCCCCGAAGAGCACAGGGGCCCCCAGGAGTATGGGGGCTCCCAAGAGTACAGGGGCCCCCAAGACAACAGGGGCCCCCAGGAGTATAGGGACCCCCAGGGATACAAGGGCCCCCAGGAGTACAGGGGCCCCCAAGAGGAGAGGGGCCCCGAAGAGTACAGGGGCCCCCAGGAGTACGGGGCCCCCCAAGAGTACAGGGGCCCCCAGAAGGACAGCGGCCCCCAGGAGTACAGGGGTCCCCAGGAGGAGGGGGGCCTTCAGGATTTGGATTTGAGGATATCTGAGACCCAACTGAGGGCCAAAATGGAGTTGGAAAGATCTCGAAGAGGACAACTTGGGGCTGCTGAGGGGCCCCTGCATGCGCCCTATGCCACTTGGGGCTTTCAGGCTCCTTTGTGGGTTTTGGGCGAAAGTTGGGGGATTTCGGAGGGAATTTGCAAGAAAAGTTTCCCGTTTTTGTCGTTTTTATTAATATAATATATTTATAATGTATTTATTGTATTTTAAGAGACAAATGGATATAAATGCGCTCATTTTCATGTAAATAAAGGCGCTCTGCATGCGCTGCATGCAGACGCTCACGCGGTTTTCCAGGTGCACGTACACCCGATGCATGCAGCGCTTTTTGTGAAAATTTTGTGGTGGAAAATAAAAGTGGCGAAAAGCAAAATAAAAACAATAAATGTAATAAATTTAATGAATATAATAAATATAATAAATATTAATAATATAATTAATATAATTAATATAATTAATAATTCAAATGGAGAAGTGGGGCCGGCGAAAAACTGGAAAAGACGGACAGAGGCCACGGGGTGTACGTACACCTCGGCGTTTTCGTCTCAGGGACACTGCGGAGGAAAGACAAAAGAAAAAATTCAAAGAAGAAATGAAAGAAGAATTAAGACAAAGACAAAGGAATAGAGAGCCTCTTTCTGTGACAGAAAGAGCAGCGGCGAAGGCAGAAAGTGAGAAAACCGAGGGTTTAGGGTTTAGGGTTTAGGGTTTAGCGTTTAGCGTTTAGCGTTTAGCAGTGAAGCCCGCCGCTCTGCTGCTGCAGGTGAAGCAGGTTTGCTGCTCTGCTGCTGCACACCTAACAATAATAATAATAATAATAGTAATAAGTAATAATAATAATAATAATAGTGATAATAATAGTAATAATGGTGATTAGTAATAATAGTAATTAATAATAAAATAATAATAATAATAATAATAATAATAGACTAATTCTCAATAATGCTGTGGCCATTTACTTTTCTAACTGTATCCCCGAAAGTAATTTCGAAAAAGAAGAAATACAAGAAGCTGGAGGATTAGAACTTAAAAGCATTATTCTTTTTTCAACTTAAAAGAATTATTTTCATTTATGCTTTCAGTGAAAAAGAATTATTCCCTTTCAATTAAAAAGAACTGTTGTTTTTCAATTAAAAAGAATAATTACTTCTTAATTAAAAGGAATTATTATTTTCAGTTAAAAAGAATTATCTTTTTTCCAATTAAAAAGAATTATTATTTATTAATTGAAACGAATTATTACTTCTTAATGAAAAGGAAATATTATTTATGAATTAAAAAGAATTATTTTTTTTAATTAAAAAGAATTATTATTTTTAATTTTAATTTTTGCAGTTCTGGGCTGGCAAACAAAAGCCCAAAATTATTATTTGCTTTACCAGCGGCTGCTGCAGCGGCAGCAGCCCCTGGAGTCAGAAGTACTGAAACTCACCAAAGGTAAAAAGCCCCAAAATATCATGCATGCATGCATGCATGTGTGCATGCATGCATGCGTGTGCATGCATGCATGCATACATGCGTGTGTGCATGCATGGATATCAGGGTCTTTGTTTATTGTTAAAACATATTTGCTGGTATGCATTTAGGCTTCTGTACTTTTAAAAATATATTATTTTAAATTTATATAAATATATTATGCATTTTTATGAATTTCAAATGTAAAATTGCATGCATATTTATTTGCTGAACAAGTAATTATCTATAAATATATATATATATATATGTTTAATTATTTATAAATTTAGATTTTTATTCATTTATTTTTAATTCCCAAACGCATGCACTTTTTATTTTTGTTTGTTTCTACTATAGAAACACTCCAAGAGGCATTTAAAGAAATGCTTTTCTTCATTTTGCAAATAAATGCATTTTTAGTTTTTTGATATTTATTTATTTGTAAATAAACTTATTTGTTTATTATCTAAAATATATTTGTTAATGCATGCATGCATGCATGCACAAATAATACTTATTTACAAATAAATGTATTTGTTTATTCATAAGTAAATGGACTTGTTTATTTACAAACAGATGCATTTGTTTATTCTTTAATAAATGCACTTGCGCATGCATTTAAATGGACATATTTACTTATAATATATACATTTGTATTTATATTTATATTATTATTCAGATAATTGTAATTAAACAAATAATAAAATCTTGAGCGCATGCAGCCCGGCTGTGTAAATGGAGTGTACATACACCTGGTGGTGACTGGCCTTGGGGTGTATGGGGAGCTGCAAGTTTGAACTTTTTGAACTTTTTGCATTTCTTCGTCAATTTCTATTCTTTTTCTTTCAATTAATGATTATTTATTCTATTTTTTAAAGTTCTTTTTCTTTTTCCCTCTTTTGCAGACTTGGCTGTTGCAAAAGAGGCCAAAAGCAACTCGCGCATGCAGCCCCAAAACGCTGCGACGCATGCAGAGCCCAGCCAGGCAGTGTGGGGCCCCACAGACAGCCAGGTAATGCGGTCAAGCTCCTGAGGCCTAGGGTTTAGGGCTTAGGGTTTAGGGTTTAGGATTTAGGGTTTGGGGGCGGAGAGGGCAAAGGAAAAATTGAATTAAATGCGAACTTCATCGCACTGCACATGCATTGTAAATGCATTTAAATGCATTTATAGTTTCAATTATGAATAATTGAAATAATTGAAACTATAAATGCATTTAAATATATTCAAATAAAAAATAGAACTCCATTTATTCAAATGATGCACTTGGGGCTTTGCGGCGTTTCATCTTGCTGCAGCTGCTTCGGGTGTATGTACACCCCAGCTCCTGCTCTTGGCTTTTGTCTTGAAAACGAATTTTTGTCCTTTTGCCTTTATCTGCTCCCCAATTAATTTAATTTAATTTAATTTAATTCAATTAATTTAATCTAACTTAATCCAATTAAATCTGATTTAATTTAATTTATATGCTTTCAAGTTTTAAGGAAGTTGATACAGCAGAAGCTTGTGGGTCTTTTGTCTTCAGCTGTCTGCAAACTACAAAGAGCTGCTGCAGTGTTTGCTGGGGGTCTGCAGCAGCATAACTCCTGTCTTTGCCCACCAAGTGCAGCAGCAGCAGCAGCAGCAGCTGCAGCAGGGGGGGCCTCCGGGGGGCCCCCCACCCAATGTTGTGCACATGATTAATGCTGTCAATTTTGTTGCTGCATGCAGCCACCAAAGTGCAGCAATAGAAAGGGCCCGGCAGCAGCTTTTGGATGCGCTGCGGGGGCTACCGGCGAGCTGCTGGGCCCACGCGCAGCAGCAGCAGCAGCAGCAACAGCTGCTGCAGCAGCAGCAGCAGCTGCTGCAGCAACAGCAGCAGCAGCAGGGGGGCGGCAGGGCAAGGGGGAGGTCTTCAAGCAGCTACAACAGACACGCGGGGACCCGCAGCAGCTCTCGCTGTGTCTCTTTTGTCTCTTCTGACGAAGACAGCAGCAGCAGCAGCAGGAGCAGCAGCAGCAGCAAACGGGGGGGCCCCAGAAGGGCCCCAAGTAGGGCCCCAAGAGGGGCCCCCAGGGGATATGCCTTTTCTAGCTTCCGCGACGGAAAAGTTATAAGTCACGAGAGACATCTCCTTTTTACAGTGGGCCCCTAAACCCTAAACCCCAAACCCTAAACCCTAAACCCTCATTGGTGCAAAAGACAAGTTTGCAGTTTTTCTGCCTTTGTTCTTTTGCTCCAGGCAGCTCCAGTTGACATCTCCATGCAGCAGCAGCCCCTCAACAGTGGCCCACGTGAGCTCTTAGTGGCAGTTATTGCTGCAGCAGCAGCAGCAGCAGCAGCAGCAGCTGCTGCTGCTGCTGTAGCTGCAGCTGCTGCAGCTGCAGCAGTAGCAGCCGCAGGAGCACGCGTTGCTGCGAGGGCAGCCGTAGCAGTTGCAGCAGCAGCAGCAGCAGCAGCTTGTGTGCGTTGTGTGCTGCTGCTGCAGCAGGCGCCGAGCAGCAGCGCAGCAGCAGCACGCAGCAGCAGAGTTTGCTGCAGCGAAGGGTTTGTGCTGCTCTTAGCCTCAAAGACATGCAAGCCAGAGCTGCGCTGCTGGCCCCAACTCGCGCTGCTGTTCCTGCAGCAGGTGAGCTCCCGCGGCAGCCTCAGCAGCAAGCTAGCTAGCTGGCAAGCTGGCTAGCTAGCTGTCCA